ACTTAATTCACACGAACGAATATGCTAAGTACGTAAATTGATTGGAAATCCTCGTATAATCGAAAACGCGTTGTTCGATGTATTCCCTACAAACTATAATCGCGCAGTATAAGCGACGTTCGACGAGGCACTCGTTCGACAGCCTCGTAAACACCGACTGAGGACGACTCGTCCTGCCCGATTTCTAATCGCTGTACGCGCGCAACTGTTCCGGGAAAATTTCTAGGCCTTAACTTCTTAGAACTCGTGATATTTGTTGCGTGTCAAACATAAGAAACGCGAGCCTGGGTCGCTGTACGTACATCGAGCCAAACATAAACCTAGCTGTCCTTATCAGAGTAAAACTATCGCGAGTTGCTCTCGAGAGTATCTCTCGCGAGTGGACACTGCGTTTGAGAGTGACTGTCTGAGAGCATCGCTCAACTCTCTGAGAGTTACGACTCGAACAAACAGTTATTTTTCATAACTTTCCCATCATTTCCGGGGAAAATGACAATTACATTTTTCGTTCCTTAGGATGCGTAGAGAATCATGCTGTAAAAAAATTTTTCGTTCCGGCCGTATGTCAAAACTGGCCCTTTTTTAACATCCTCCTTTGTACAGGGTGTTCTGAAATATTAAAGTGCTAATACAGCGTGCTGAGAAAGTTAACGCGTTTCGTGTCGTAGGAGGTTTATAAGTTCTACTAGAGCGTTGAAATAAAGTTCAAAAGTCGTATTACAATTTTTAAGCATAGGAAATATCGTTGAAGTCGAGTTTCTGACACTTTGATCTTCTTTTGCACGGATTTTTCACGAGTGAGTTGAAGGATATTTTCGTTCGTTTAACGAGAATTTCATTTTTGAAATGTCCCGGACCATTGATGACACTCGTGCTAAATAAATGAAGCGGATTCGAAGAAACTTAAGTTCAGAAATGTTTTATTGAGATGTGAGAAATGAAAAGTATTATTTGTGAAACGCAGCTGACTTAAATAGAAACAAGCCAAATGTTGTAGAACACATTTTAGCTGTTGTTACAAATTATTTAGTAAATATACGAGTTATAAATCGAAAATAGTCGATCTTTCAGTGACCATGTTTTAATTGCAAAGAAGTGTAATAATAAGACTGAAGTGAAAAACATTTTCTGAACACTTCTACAAATCTAGAAAGCAGAATTCTTTTTTTAAATAAAGGTATAGATAACTTCATTCTGCATTGACAAATTAAATGAAAATCAGTGGATTATATCTCGATTAATAAATATTATTTTAGGTATGATCCTAATACCTATAGACGCTGAAAGTCTCATTTATACCTCAGTCACTCATCTGTAATAACTTGCATATCCTTTTTATTACATCAATTTTAGGTGTGCTCTCCTGGTTAGAATTAATAAAATATTTATTCTACGCTCTTACATAATTATTTCAGAGAACGTATAAATAAAGATTACTTATATACTTGAAGAATATTAGAATCACGAATTAAACGCTATTGATCTTGAAATTATGAAAAAGATTGAACTTCGAAATGTGGGAATTTTAAGTATTTTAACGGCGAAGAAAATTATGTGCATTCTAAATTCCGATCAAATCAAACAGAATACGTAATACTCTTGATATTAAATACTCGATGTAAAACTAGAGACTAATAAGTGATATGAAGGTGTTCTAAAAATTATCAGTATGAAATGCATACAGTTTTTACAATAATCCCTCGGTTCTACCCATCTTTGTGGTATAGTGCGTCATTAAATCTCAAAAACGTTGGGATTTCCGGACGTCAGCGTTGTACAGCGTAGCCTCATTCAAAGTCAGCATAAAACTCATATTACCTCTCTCTGGCACGGGTTCACGCAGTCCAGCACCAAGCTGCACCTCGCTTGTCTCTGAATATATGCCTGGAATCTGGGCGCTGCATCGTAAATTCAGCTGGCCGTTCAAGTAATGGAACTGTTGAAGCTTTATCCTGATCTCGATCCACTGAAGATTCTCCTGCTGATCGGCGTCGTTCAGATCCCACCTTCGGTGTTGATGCAGCTGCAGCTCATGATTTGCGTGGACAGGAACCTAAGAGAAATCAAGCGTGAATTCATCACAAAATTTCTGTTCGAAGGGGAAGAAACGAGGAATTCAGTCGCGCGAGAACCGAGAGCACGGAACAATCGCGGAACGTATAACTGAAAAGGGGTGGGAGAGACAGAGATAGAGAGAGACACGGAGACAGAGACAGAGAGAGACTGAGACAGAGAAAGAGAAATAGAAAGAGAGAAAGAGAGGGAGGGGGAGAGAGACGGAGACAGGTACAGAGACAGAGAAAGAGAGAGACACAGAAACAGGGACAGAGACAGAGAAACAGAAAAGGAGAGAGAGAGAGAGAGACAGGAAGGCAGAGAGGCAAAGAGACAGAAAGATTGAGCGACACAGAGTCACAGGCAGAAAGCCTGAAAGGGAGACAGAAATGCAGAGAGACCGAGACAGAGAGAGAGAGAGAGAGAGAGAGAGAGAGAGAGAGAGAGAGAGAGAGAGGGGAGGGAGAATGGCCGAGGAAATGTAAATCTGCTTTTAACGAAATCCGTTCATCTGGAATCGGGAAGTGAACCCTTCGTTTCGTTTGCCCACCCTTCATCCGTGCCCCACCCGGGCGCTACCACATGCTAGTACCGTCCGTTAAGCACGACTCCTTCCAGTTCGATGAAAAGTCGAAAGACTTGGTCATTTTCGGCGCCGTGCTTCCCCCATTAACGTTTTTCCTTTCTTTCTCGGAAGAAAGCGTCTCCGTAGCTAACCCGGTGTATTCACTGGAATGCCTGGCTTCTGAGAATCTTAATGGATCATTATAGTTCCAAGAACTGGTGATGGCGTCGAAACTAAGTTACTCGGCCGAGCGACTTAGGACGAGCTGAATCGCAAGTAGATCCGCTAAGATTTACTTAAAACTTTCGAGTAAGCAAAAATACCCATGACTTCCTTAATACACGGTTGAAAAGTCCACGCGAACACTTTCGAGCGTTTCAAATTGTGGCGTTTTTAAATTTACGAAATAACGCATCTATCATTTTGTCAAATAAAGGTGGAAAGTGCGCAAATGATAAAAATTCAGATGAAAGTGTGTCAAAAGTTACCAACAGCATAATACGAGGAAATTTTAGGCGCCAACAGCAGTGAAAGGGTTAAATCACTGTGTTGTAAAAATCAATTTAACATAACTACTTGATTTAACGAAACATACTTGTTTGTTCAGTTTTCTCACAATATTTTATAAAAACAATATGCTTATAATGTTACACAAAGAACTAGGATTTTTTTCAATGGAAATAACGTATCACGTTAATTGAAGCTACTCAAACGCTGTAACTTTCAAAATTCTCCATATATGTAGTTGTGATAGTGAAAGAAAAATTCAAACTCGTCCATGAGACCAATGGTCTGTACTCAAAGGGTTAAATTACATTTCTTCGTCAGATTTAGCATCACACATCAACAAAACTGTATATATTCTTTATCCCACGAGATTCCAGGCCGAATAATTTTCCAACGACTGTATAGGTTTCGTTTCGTATTTAGCAAGTGTCCTAATACTCACGCACCGGAGTGTACTTTTCTCTCAAAACTGTTCCAAAGCAAAGTGAACGCTAATTACAGACTAATACGTCTTCCAAATGTCCATAATCAGCGTTTACGTGGAATCCTTGTGTAAGATAATTTGCAAACGTGATCCAATAAATTAGTTTTTGGTCCAACGTTCCAAGCAATCAAGCTTACGTGAGTTAGGCAGCAATGAGAGAAGTGGTTGATAAGAAGAGATAGGATCGAAGATACTATGACAATAGAGGCTACAAACGAACTCATCTGTAAAATTACAGCGCACCCGTTCTTCAGATACAGAGACATTCGGTATTAGGAATATGGCGGTAATTTGAATAGATCGATGATTAGGTTGGAATATGTGTGATGCCGGGATATCGTGAATCTGATGGAAACCAGTGGTTACTACGAGAGGTTCTGCAACGCGATAATTGATCCACCGCTTCGAAATGTTACAACCAGCAATTACATTCTATGAAAAATATTGAACATCTTGTTACGCAACCGAAATCACGATTATCGCTTGTCTATTTTTCCTCGTTCGATATTAAATATTATACTATCGTATTTAAGCCTGCGATAAATTTTTCAAATAAAAGTGTGAACTGTAAAAATGTCTGTTCTGCTCTTTTCAAATTTATTACAATTTTTGTGATACAGTTTATTAACGCTGGACTTAATTTAGTGCCTTCGTAAATTATTACATCTGATTTATTGCATTTGTAAATTACTAACGACAGGTACAAATGTTTCGAGAACTCTGGTCATAGATTGCACAAAGTTTCCTATTACAAATCATTATATTATACAGGGTGGGGCATGTAAAAGAGGCCACTTAATTATCTTCTTTACGCATGGTGGTACGAGAAAATTTTTATACGTAATTTAAATGGTTTCAAACGATGAATATTTTTCTGTTTTTCTTTTTTTTTCAAGGTTGCCTAAGTTTTAAACATACACACTAATATTACCCTAAAATGAGTTGGCACTCTAAAATTTTTAATCAAATGAGACACTTCATTTCAATTTTTTGCTATTTCTTCTATGTTGTTCACTCTTTGAAACCATTTAGATTACAATTTTCTCGCACCACCGTAGCTAAAGATAATTAGGCGACCTGTTTCATGTAAACCACCCTGTATCACGTCACAGCAAAAAGATCAACGGAAAAATTGTTGAAATTTCTGATTTAACGACAGATTAATGAAAACATTTTTACTATACAGTAAATTTTACAGCGAAAGCATCTTAACATCGATACAACAGTCAGTTTATAAAAGCTGATAACGCTGCAATCGCGTGTCAGTTATGAAACGAACATCCTAAGGATTACGAATCCTGTTGAAGCCTTTAAATTTGAGGATAATGCCGAATATAAAATCGATACTGGACGCAAATTAAACAAACTGCATTTAACGTAGCGGATTTTCCCGGGAGGTGGAGAGGAGAATCTCTTAACAAACAGCGATTAAAATTGGATTTCAGGCATGAATCAATGTTTCGTTGTAACGAGTGCAGCGGGTAATGTATGGTGCTGCAGGCACGGGCTAGTATAAGAACAAATGCCCGGACATTTCTGTCGTGTCCACGACCGATGAGTAACGTGTTTTTAAATGTAACAAACGCTCCAGTCCCGCGCGATTTATTATTATTTCGATGAACGTTCTTCATAAATTCGAGTGAGTGTGGAAATGAAAAAGCGAATTGCACGAAAACACGGAAGCGTGTATGGAAGAGAGTATCCAAACAGTGTCTCGTACATCCTGCCCCCCCCCCCTTTTTTTGTTGTTTCGTGTTTTGTTTCGGCAGAGGAGGAGGAGAATGAATTCAGAAACTGCAATGGAATTTATTTGAAACAAATAAAAAAACAACAAGAATAGAAGACGAAAGCCGAATAAACGAAAGCTAAAAATGAATGAGAATCAGTGAAAACATTGTACCCTGTTCCTGCATCGATTTTGTTCGTTTCTTTTTCTTATTCCAATAAAAGGAAGTTTGTAGCTTTACCAAAATGTATACTTGCACCTATATCGGTACACACGTATTAACTGTTGATTCATAACGAATAGACAGGAAAATACGTTGAAACGTTTTCTATTGATTCACTGATTTTAGTTTCCGCGTACGGAACACATACGCACACATACCGAGCACTCAGTATGTTTAAATAGGATTCAACGAACTAGAAATTATTTATCAATTTGACACGTTGGATAAAAAGCATCGTAGTGTGATCACGTAGACGTGGTAAAACTGTAGTGAGAAAATTTCATTCCCTATTCGAATGATAAAATTGTCACATTTTGTACTCCGCTTTTTTTTTTTCGTTTCAAAAATCGGGAAAATAATTGTATATTCTTGTGAT